TGGCAGAAGATGAAAATCCGACGCGGACTGACGAAAGCATGGTCGAAAGCACGATTTGGCAGGCCGATTTAGCTGTGTTCAGTTACGATTGGCGTGTATGCCATTCAATGGACGCTCACCACTGCAGAAAACAAGAGCATCGCATCCTCCGCCTACGCCGCAACCACCGTTGTGTACACATTCGTCCTTGCCACATCAGGCGGCGTCGTCGGCACCATCACGACCCTCGTCGGAGCTGCGTCCACCACGATCACGGCCGACCTCGACTTGACCAAAGCCAACTTTACTGCCCTGAAAGAGATCGATGAAACTTGCTCCAACGAGAATGTAACCGGGTTCACGCAGAGGAAGGAGTAAGTAAATGAAGAATGAAAGTGGCAGGGTTATGCTATGTAGCTCTGCTACATGAATATGGAATGTTAAGGCGACTCGTGGGGAGAGTTGCTAGCAACCTAGGCGACTTGTTGTGTGAGGTCGCGTGCAACCTTTGAATACAGTGATACCTCACATTTTGCACCCCACTCAAAATGAATCAACTACATAATATGATTCGACGTCAAGTACTTGATGTGTAGTCTTCAGAGGTCGTTTTCTTTGGGTTTCCATCCGTCTGTTAGAATTTATATTTTGGAGATGGTGCAAAATGTGAGGTATCACTGTAGTCGACCTTCATTGTTAATGAAGATCTTGACATGTGTCCGGATATCAGTAACAGTACCGTAGGACTGTTACAGGGAACGACGCTGGGTAGTGGACAAATATTTTCAACCAATAGAAATTGAATAAAATGAATAATGAAATAGGATTGGTCAATTGAGTGGCGGGAAATTTAATTTATGCCATACCATGAACCTCCATCATTTCATCACCTCCCATGGCAAGTCAAGACCGCAAACGCCCAACAATTGCAAGGAAGCTGCAGCTCGTTGGCAATTCCAAGACACTCAAGGTCTCCAAGATTGTCAATGCAACGGGGTACAGTAGAAGCGCTCTTTACAAGTGGCGGAAGGACGAAGACGT